AATCCTTTACCTTGATGCTGCAGTGGCACTCGCTCAATAGCCCCTCATTCAAGGAGGGAGTACCCTTCTTATTGGAGGATCTCCTTGTGAGAGTGGTTGCTGAAGAGAGGCTGGGAGGAGGGGCTGTGGGAAGGTGGGAAAGAAACTTGATGGTATAGCCCAACTGGATAATAGCTAGTACCTACTTGTCCATTGTTGTAGCCCTCCAGTTGTGCGTGAAGTATGCTAGGTGGCCACCAAAGGTTTGGGAAACAGGTGGGGATGGCATCAGTGATTTGGTTTGCAACTCTCAAATGTCCTTTCAGAAGTAACCTTTAGCTGGTGGATGAGGTTGGATGGCTGACATCAAGATGGATGGGTCTGCATACGTTGGTCTTTGCAACTTCTGATGTTTGCATAGTGGTTCGTATGGTCATTGGCTGTGAAAAAGCTGGAGAAGAGGCCTGGGTTTATATATCTGTTTATGATGTTTCCTCTTTGGGGCTATGGTATAAATGCCCAGGGAACAGAGGATTGTCCTTGAGTCTTTTAATGAGTGCAAGCCCACAATGGTGTTCTGAACCTCTCAGAGGAACCCTCAAGAGTGAAGCTACAATTCATGCCACATTACTATTGCTATGGTTCTAGATACAGGATCGGCCATGTCAACTGCGGCTTGGAGTGAAGTTTGTGCCATGAGTCTACCCTGTCTTCCCGAGTAAGTTTCTCTGTATACTCCAAGAACTTGGAATCATTCATAAAATCATACGTCACTAGGTAGTTAGCAACTCTAAACTGGAGGCTGATGGATGCGAACACCTTCCTCCTCAGAAGGTCAAAACATTTAGCACCCTTCTCTGCAGGGGTAGTCTTGGGGTGTTGTACGAGCAGCCATGGAAGGATCTAGGCAACAACTAGAGAGTTAGAGGCAGGATGGGTGAAGAAAAATTCTGACCCTTTCACAGGGACACAGTATCATGACTCAGCACTTTTGGGGGTAAAAGAGCATGAGGTAGGTGTGTGCCATACCAACCTGGCAGGTTCCATGATAGCCGCATTTACTGGGAGACCTACCCGATTGGTTGCCCTGGGCTGTAGGATGAACAAGAGCTTATGCTGTGTGTCATGAACTTCCTCAAGTAGGATCTAAAGTTCAGTTGCCACGCTCTGCAAGAGTTCTGGGTAGTGCCTGTGGTTATCAGGCAGGGATAATGAAGATGGAGCAATTGCCTCATTGGGCGGAGGATGATTTGCCTGTCCATACTGGTAGATACAGCTTCTGTTTACTTCAGTGGAACCAATTGCTATTGCCTAAGGGAAGAGGACTGGTGAGACTCTTGCACAGATCCAGGATACCACATATAGGGATCCCATGGACCCCAATAAGGCCAGTTCAAAGGCTGGTCGGGGGAGGCTCCCCAAGGCATTGGGCCAGGGCCAATCAAAGTGGGAGGCCAGGAGGGCCATTTGGCCTGGGCCTCAAGCTCAAAGGGGGCCTCAAATTTAGACACTTGTTAATTTTTTGGCATTTGATAAGTTTCGCACCTTGTTTTTATGCGCATCCCTATCGGACCAAAATGTGACACACTCTCAGCTTAGAGTTTCAAATTTAAGCAAATAAGAGATGTGATTTGGTAAAAGACATAATTTTTTTGCACAGAAAAAGGCTAGAAAAGTATTTGTTAAATAAAAAAATATTCAAATTATGTCTCACTTTTTTTTAGTGCCTTATTTTGTTTTCATGTGTCCTCATTTTTTATTTTTATTACGGCTAGGGGCCTCAAAAGCTGGAAGTGGCCCGAGCCTCTCTGGACCTCTGAGAGGGCCTGCATTGGGCACCAGTGGTCCCTGGGAGGGTAGTCTTGTCTGGTTGGAGGATGGCTCCAGGACAGTCTGAAGCTCTATCTGGGCTAACCTCCCTTTGTGGAGGTGATGGTTCCCCCGGACATCAGCTTCAACCCATGAAAAGGTCAGATCCAGTTCCATCACTGGTACTCTGTGCTGACAGATGGAGCAGGGGAGTAGCTCTTTCTCCTTGAAGTGGATTCCTCTTCTGGTGTCAGAACAGTCCCACCTGGAGCTTTTGATCAGTGTCAGCAAATGCCAATTCTTCAGATTACTAGCAGGTACCTGAGTCGGTACCACTGGATCTTTGTCCTAGGTCCCTTGCTCTCATGGTCAGGAGGCTTAAGCAGGCCTAAGTCTGTAGCACCTGAATGCAAGGACTCACCTGAATTGGAAGGAGTTGGGGAGGGATCCTTTCTTTTTGGAGCAGATGTGGAAGGGGATATGGTCTTGTGCCCATGAGGCTGCCCTTACTCTCGTGACAACCAGTCTTTGGCTATATCAGATCTGGCCTCCATTCCAGAGCTCATGGTTGGAGGGGCACTACTCATGGGCTGACGCTGATGTGCTGAGAGGTGTGACACTGCACCCCATATTCTTCAGAGTGATATGACATAATTATAATGTATTTTATGCAAGATAAGTCATGTGAGATGTCATTGGAAAGGTTATGATTTGCTGAATATGATTATTCTATTTGTACATGTATCATTTTTGTATCTGAAGTTATGAATATTTACTATGTTTCTGCATTTCAAATGTAGTTACACCTGGGGAACGCCCGCTAGACAAGATGGTTTCATTCTAGACAGTGGGTGGGGAATGGGCCAATAGGCCTTAGGAGAAGCTTATATCCCACCTGGGGAGCCTTACTGAGAATGCTACAGACAGCCTCGGAGTAATGGCTGCTAGGACCCTGCAAGGACATGTGATGAGACCACATGTCTCTAGACTCCATCTTGGGATGTCAGTGTTTTTCCACAGACCAGTCTGGGAACCAAGCGTTGAAACAAACGGTTCCTGCCATATGCAAAAGCTATATAAGGCAGGGAGTGACATCATCTGTTGTTCTTCGCACCCCACCCAAGAAGACTCCTGGAAACACCTGAGGAACAAAAACTGAACTGGGGGAACGGCTGGACCCAGGCTAAAGGGATTTCTAGCCTGTGAATGGGACACGTGGGGATTCTGAGCTGTAAACAAGTGCAGCTTGCCCCTTAAGAATCTGCAGCCTGCTTGTATCATCTCTTAGGGTGAGTATCTGCTATTCATATCCCATCTATTTAGTATATTAAGTTTAGTTTGTGTTTTTTGTTTATCTGCTAGCTAATCTGCTTTGATCTGTTTGCTATCACTTATAATCACTTTAATTTTAACTTATTTTTGCTTTATCTAAACCAGTGTGTGGTAATCATAGTTCAAGGGCAAAAGGCTGTTGCATATTCCTCTCCACACTGATGGAGGGGGCGAATTTTATGAGCTTACGCTGTACAGTTCTCTGTGCAGCACAAGATGGCATAATTTTGAGTTTATACTCCAGAGGGGGCGCATGCCTGAGACTGGGAGTTGCCCTAGCTGTAGCCTTCCCCGGCAGGGGCTGGTCAAAGAGCCTGCATGTACTGCACCTGGGTGTGTCTCTACCTGTATGTATGCTGGTGAAAGTGCAGGCTGGAGAGGGCTTTGCAGCTTGTCACAGCAGTACAGTGTAAAAGGGAGCGCAGGTTGGTGGGTCAGGGGGGTTCAGTGGTACCCCAGTTCCAGGTGGCACCCCAGAAAGAACCCGTCACAGGAGGAATCTTCCCAGCCTGGATCTGATTGGGGTCTCATGGCTTTCTCCATCAGGTACTTCTTTAGCTGAAGTGTTCGTCCCTCTCGGGAGAGGGAAGGAGCAGCAGATCCTGCACTTGGCAGAGATACGTACCTCCCCAAGGCAGTAAAGACAGTGCTCGTGGTCATTGCTGACCGAGGAGCAAGGACAGGAGACACGATTCTTAAACCTCAGAAATCTGGGTATAATCCTTCTCTCGAGAGTGGGGAAAACTAATCTACACTAACTGTAAAGAGACTACTAAAAACACTAAGAACCATCTACAGTTATATTTACAGATAAGAAAGCTGGTGCTAAGACAGCTTCAGGCACAGAGGATTCCACTCAGGCCATGAGGCTGTCAGGAGGAACATGGAGAGGTGGACAGTCCGCACTTCCCCTTATACTCTTCGTGCTGAGCTGGAGGATCTTTAGAGAGCAGCTGTGGACCAATGGACACTACTTGCAAGGTGTTCCGGTCTCAGGCACATGGATACCCATGTGTGGAATACAAATAGGGACCAGCACTCAAAGAAGAAATAATAGCTACAGCGCTGCTTCTTCACAGATGTTAACGTATCTCACAAAGGAGGATAAGTTCCTATGCCCCATTTTGCAGACTGGACAGAGTCTGAGACTCATACAAGGCCACTGAAAAATTCAATGGATAAGCTGGTAACAAATTCCATATCTCTGGCTGCCCAGTCACATGCCTGTACGTAGAGAGGAAAATACCTCGCTTTCCACTAAACTATTCCTCTCAGCTATTGGCTGGCGCCAGTCTAGCCACAAAACAGCCTGTTTGAGTCCAAAGGTTTCCACAAAGCGTCCCCTCTGCACGTGACTGCCTCTCAGGTGCCAGGGCCGGATTTTTAAAGGCATTTAGGCGTCTGGTGGGAAAATCGCACCAGGTGCCTTTCTGCATCTTTAGGCCCAAAACTTTAACACAAACTACTGAAAGAATGCACTGTAGACAGGAAGGTTTCCACCCAGCCCTAGTGAGCAGCGCTATCAGAGCCTCATTATGAAGTGGACCTGTTCTGCCTCTAATTTGTAATAATAATATTTAACTCTGCATAGACTTTTCACCCATGGCTCTCAGATGTACCTTACAAAGGGAAAGCAAGCACCATCCCAATTTTACAGATGGAGAAACTCAGGCACAGAGAAGTGAAGTGACTTGCCCAAGGAGCCTCCTCATTCATTGCTGGTTTGTGACATTGTTCTCATTCTTCGACTGCAATCTGTGAATAGCCCGTGGTAGTTACTATGTTCTTATAGGACTGATTAGATGGTGCCTCCCCAAGCCCATTGCCTCACAGAACAAAGCTCTGGAAGCTAGGAAAGCAGAGGGCAGTTAAGGCACAAACACAGGGACTTAAAGGATGTTTTATTTTGTGGGAGAATGAAAGTATTCAAAAAAGGAAAAATATTTTTTCATAAACCCTGATACCAGTTTCACAGGATTGGCCTCATGGTGACGAAGTCAAAGTTGTAGAATTCTGGCAGACCCTGATGCCTGGTCCCATTGAATTGTTTCCAGCTGAAAACAGGAAGCCCATCCTCTACAGGTGGGCCATTGACAGCACAGGCTGCAAACACCGAAGCCATATGGAAATCTGCCACCTGTGAAGGACAGGGCAGGATTTTATAGCTAGAGGATACATTGTTCTATCACATTTGAAGTGTTTAAAAACTATGGAGAGGGAGGGCATTGCTCAGGTTGGTCCAAGTGGGTATACGCAGGAGTAAAGGAAAGAAACTGAGCAGAGGAAAACTTATGCCAGTTCAAGCAACATCCCCCCAAACAGAAAAGTTTTTTAAACCAAGCATTGCCCACACCTTAAGAAACCAAGGACCCAAGGTGACTTACAGCCCCATTGATGTAAAGGCAGCCGATCTGCCCCCTGGGGAATACCCCCAGCGTAAGGGTCTCCCCAGCTGGTGGGGAGGGGACATGGCCAAAACAGTGCTGTGCTCCAGCTGTTCTTGGCTGCTGCAATAGCCCCCTGGGGGATTTGGTGAGAAAATACAGGGAGGTACATGTGGTATAAAGCCTCCTAGCCACCTTCCCACTCACATTTCTGCACCATGTGTAACTGCCAGAACGGAGGCCCCTGGGGTCCCTGCTGAGCCCTGCTATCTGACACAAGTCAGGCAAGCCAGGGAAGAGTGGAAATCCTCAGAACTGGGTCTGCCAAAGATTTCTGATGCTGCCTGTCCTTGCAGCCTCACACACAATCCCGGAAACGGGCTAGCCCTGACAGGCTAAAACACCTTAGACCTTGTCAGTGTTTTAAGGGTTAGTATTAACTTACCTAGCATTTGTACTAAGAACAAAGCTGCCATAAATCCTGCCTGTAAAAATCAGTCCTTTTTACTGAATCATGGGTTAAAACTAAAAGCTACCTGACCTTTGCCAACTTCGTGCTGAGAATAATTATACAGGTTAAGTCTAGAGCAAAATGACTCACTGAAGAGTAAGGCATTAGCAAACACAGGGGTCACTGGGGGTCAGGAGGAAGAAACATTCCTGCATGGTTCCAGGGAACTGGCCACATGGTTTCCATTAATGAGAGCAGACAGCTGCTTGGCAAATTCCCATTCCCTCTGTGCCACCCTGAAAATAAGATCACTGAGGGCTCCAGGGCCTTTGAGTGACAAGTACACTCCTGAGCCCTACCTACTGCCGGGCTTTAATCGAATTTGGGTATGAACCCTTAGTGCCCTAAGGGTGAGCAGTCTCACCACAGCATTCTGCACCTGGATACATAGGATAAGTATGTACCCACGTACCTCGGGTTCCTGCATCCTCACACCCACAAAACGTATGGCTCACCTCCCTCTACCATCTGGTTCCATGCCTCTTGCTCCCTATGTTTAAGTGAGACTGACCTCACCCCAGCTAGCACTGACCCTGGCTCTCCCAGTGAAACCTGGAAGAGAAGGACCGGAATGCAGCTGCAGGGAGTGGAGGCACCAGGAAGGAGATGGGGCCAACCAAGACTCACGGCAGACAGGAGTCCCATCCTGTCTGGCCCAGGTGCTTCCCCTCCACCCCACAGCACTCCCTTGTGGCCTCAGGAAACCCTGGCAATTAGCTGCTTTCCAAAGGATTAGCTAATTCCCAGATGGTGCAGAGGATCAGAGATCCTAGAGACCACATAACACTGTACAGAGCAGTCAGTTAGGCTGGCAGGGCCCTGGCTAAGTAGGCAAACACAGCAGCCAGTCTCCCATAACCCTGCCCTGCAGATGCTTTTCTTTAATCGCTGGTAAGAAGTGTTGCCCAGGATAGTGTTTTATTCCTGACTCTCTCCCACTGTCGCAGTTTGGGGGACAGAAGGGGCAGACTGGGAACCATCTTCTGCAGAGTATGAAGACTTGGTTGGCAGGTCCAGAGCAGGCGCCCTGCTTTCACTCAGACAGTATGTAAGGCAGGCCATGTGCTCTAGGGGTCTTTACCTTCGAGTCATAGCAGCCTGCTGGCACTGGGAGAGAAGGGTTCAGGTCTTCGCGGCAGCAGATAGTGTTGCACGGATTGAGCTTGGCATAGGGCTCCTTCATGTAGTCTGGGAAATAAATGGGGAAGAGAAAAGAAATCAAGTCAGTCTACTCACAGGGCCATCCCCAGTAGGGGCTAAGGGCTCCTCCCATAGAGTCCTGAATGGAATATTCTGCAAGCTGATCCAACACTACCTGAGAAGTTGTAATGAGAGAAAGCCAACTCGTACAAGAGAATGGGGGAGGGATCAGGAGAGAAAAGGTAGTGAGCAGCTCTGGTCTTAATATTTTAGTCTAGAACAGAAGAAAAAAGTTTACAAAACAAGAAACTAAAAATGAAGATGGCAAGGAGCAAGGTCTAGCAATACCCCCTGCAATTGCAGGAAATCGGGGAGTGGGAGAAAACTATGCCCGTCTGATTGCAATAGTGTATTGCTACTCAGTGAACCAAAGAAAGGCAGTCCCCATGCTCTTTCCCTCAGATGACTGCCAGTTCACCCTGGGGGAAAGTCCTTCCAAACTTCACATGTGGCAAATAATGTTATATGCAAAAGAGAATCAAAATAAAGCAGCTACGGTCATCTGTACCTAGAGATGGTGTTTATTCAGAACACTTTTCCCCATTAATCCCAGTCAGGCGGATCCTGACAGCATCAAGACAGAGCATTGTGCATTGAAGCACATTCCTTCTGAGAGGGGAAAGTTAAAGGAGTCTTTTAAAAAGATGTTATGCTAAATCCTCTATGTTAGTATCATAGACACATTGCCTGGTACTTAAGGCTTTGCAAGACCCTTTCCTTGCTCCAACTGTGCTCAAGAACAGTTCTCCCCAGAGAGCCTTAGCAAGTCTCCTAATTCTGTTGGTGCACGGGGTTAAAAAACAAACAAACAAAAAAAAGATTTTCAAGTCTTATCTCATACCTAGATTGTAAGCGCCTCAGGGCAGGGACTGTCTCTTTGTCCTATATTTGTACAACACTGAGCACAATGTGGTCCTGAGCCATAACTGGGGCTGCTAGGCAACACCATAATACAAACAATAAATAATAAAAATCAGATCAAAGGAAAACAAATGGGCTTCTTACTGTTATATCTCATTATATACTTCATGGACTCCAAGTCAGTCACTTTCCCTTGGTCCCGTCGGAAGATTTTTGCTCTGGGAGCCAGGTCATAAGAAAAGTCCAAGCCGTATTTCTCAACGTACTTTGCATACCCGCTGAGGTTGTAGATGGTTTCATGGAAAGGGATGTTGTAAGAAGGCCAGTATCCTGCAAGGGAGACAACCCATTCTGTTGTTTAATTAAACAAACTGTGCACTCGTTTAAAAAAATGTTTCAATTGCTATGTTGCCTGAACAATGCCAGCTAGGGAACAGGAGCTAGATCCAGTCTGACAGCAGCACAACATATCAGTCGCCATTGGGAGCAGGTGAGTTAATTCACAAGTAATTCCACTGGAGAGACGGTGCTAACAGAGTCTCAGGCCTCAGGTTTCCACTTTGAAGGCTTATCCCACAAAGCAAGTTTGAGCCAGTTGCAGGCTAGACTTACAGAAGTATCTTGTGGTGCTTCGAGGGGAGGTCTGAGAGGTTCAGGTCTAGATAGTGCCCACAGGCAGAGCTGACCACCTGTGAACCCTCATGCTCTGCTGAAACAGAGGATGCAGCAATAGTGCTCATCCACAGTAACATGTGTCTCCTGCAAGCACATCTTGAAGCCAGTGAGCTTCTTTCTTGAAAGAAAAAATGATTCCTAAAATGAAAAGCCCACCAACCTCGCACACCAAATAGATGCATCAAAGCGGCATGCTGAAAAGTTGAGAAATGTGCCAAAGCACCAAACAAACTCAGAAGTGAGGAAAAAATCATGTGCCAAGGCACTGAACCAACAGGCACCCAAGACATCAGGGATACAATTAAGGCCCTGAAACAACAAGCAGAAAGAGAGGTCACAGCAAAACAAACCATGAAACCAAAGAGGCCAGCAGCCTTCGACTCAAGTAACCCAGAAAGGAGCCACAGAACTGTTATTATAGACCTGACCGGAAAGCAGATCAACAAAAAAGGATACCCAGAGAAACAGGTGAGAGCCAGAGTGGAGAAGGCTGGAAGGTTGTGGTAGCTGATGGTGCATATTGATCAATAAGAGAGAGAAAGGGAATCTTGCGCTTGCCACCACCATCATTGCCTCAGCGAGCCCAAAGCCAAAAGACTTAGAGCCAGGAGAGTTCTGTCCTATCTCACATAAGACAAAGGTCAAGACAATCCTGTCATGAAAGTACCTTTAAAGATTAGTGTATCCAACTGAAATTACAGGGAGATTATTAGGTAGGCAGAATGCAATTGTCTGTAGTACAAATAAGTTAGGATGCTCCTAAGTTTGCAAAAAAAATGCCATGGGATCATTCAGGACCATAAATAGACAGGACCTGGCTCTGAAGTGTAATCCTAGGAGAATTAAAACGTGATCCTTTTCTGTCAATTAAAAATGTACAGTAATGTAGTCTTTTCCCCCATGGGGGAAGGGGGAGATAATGGGATGGCATATGCTGAAATGTGGCACCTAGAGCTACACAGCAACCTTTATCACCAGCCTAGGGCACTGGTTTGCTACTGACAAAGGGAGATTGCCACCTACTGAGTCATCAACACCCAGGGTTTTGCTTGGAGGTCTCCCACCTAAATACTGACTGATGTATCACCCCTTGTTCTGAGGAGTTGGAGTGGGGGAATCTGATTGGTTGATGCTCAAATAATAAGTTGGGGCTCATCAGGCAACTGTTACAAAAATACAAACCAAGCGTTTAGACATATAAAGTTTTGAACTAGTGGCCAATATGTCAAAGCCATGCACTTCTCTGAGTAGGTGATTTGCAGTCTTATGTCTCAATACATACGTGGCACAGAAATGGGTGTCCTGTATAACTGCACAGCCTGCATTGGCTGACATGACATGTAACTTTGTTGAAGGGAACATCCAGTGTCACATGTTTCTCTGCGCAGTAAAAGAGAGATGTCCTCCGTAGATTAATGCACTTGAGCCATCCTCCAAAGAAGCAGCTGGCAAGATACGGGCAGGCCAGCTTTCAGGCACGTTCATTTCCAAACAGAAGGGAGTTAATTATTATTTAGCAATAAATTCTACAGTTGTACTGTCTCAAAGGAAGGCAAAGAATGCAGCTGCCTCTGCATCCCCACCCAGAAAGCACTATATTTAAAAACTACAGCAAAGTAACCCACGTTAAGTTCTCCTCAAGTAAAGCCTCTCCTCACCGTTCCCTGCTTTTGCAAGGCTGTAAATCCCACCTACACAGTGCAATGCCCTCATGTACCAGCTCCCGGGTGAGTTTCTGCTCCAGATAGAGGCCTGCCGTTGCTGCAGGCTAGGCCATGCAGAGCGCACAATGAGCAGAATGTAGAGCTGGGAGTATGGGGGGAGGCTGGCCCATGCGTAGAGCAGGGACTCTGCTGGGTCTCTAGGAGGAACTTTCTTTTTTACTCTTCCTGATTGTGAAGCAGCAAGGGACTGTACTGAGTGTTGTGTGGGGAGCCAAGGACTGTCTTGTGGTTAATGCACAAGACTCAAGAGTCCAGAAATCTTGGCTCTATTCCTGGCTTTAATACCAACATGCTTTCTGACTGCAGGCAGACAACCTCTTGGGACTCTGTTTTCCCATCTATAAAATGGGGATAATACTTGCCAACCTCGCACAGGTGCTGGAAGGCTTAATTCATTACTATTTGCAAAGTGCTGTGAGATCTTTGGATGGAAGGGGCTACGTAGATGCAAAGTAAGAGGTTCACAATCTCGGTGTCTTACCTGACTCATCTTTGCTCCAGAGGCCAAAGACAGCGGCAGTGGCCAGCAAATCCTTCTGCATTTAAGGCTGGCTAAGAAATTGCATCCTTTTCTCTCAGATATGAACCTCGCCTCAACAATTCGTGTCTTTGTCACCTTAAGATCTCCATTACTGCTACCTGATGTACCTAGGGCTACCCCTGAAGGCCACCTAGGAGCTTAAGCTAGTACAAACACAGCTGCCTGACTTTTGAGTAGGACAGGGAGGTTAGAGCATATTGCCCCTTTGCTCTGAGCTCGGCACTGGCTGCCAGTTCACTTGTAACTAAAACTCAAGGTGCTTGTTGCTATCTGGATCTTGGCTTTCAGAGACCGCCTCTCCACCTTTACTCTGCAGCATCACCTGTGTTTTGCGGGAGCACGTCATCTGCCTGTCCCATAGGTGATGCTCAGAGGAGACAAGTGTTGGTTGCAATGGAGAAATACACTTAGAAATGTGTCTAAGCCCAAGTCTGGACAACTTTAATGAACACTGCAAGATTCTCCTCTTTGCTCCAGCTTTCCCTTAAAGTAAGTCTTGAGTCCCTTGTCATTCAGCTCACTCGCGCTGCAAGAATGTTTTGAGGACTATTATTTTGATGCTGCAGTGTATATATTGTTCTCTTGACACCACCTTTCATTGTTGAGTCTCTTCTTTCCAGAACGTTTGCTTGTCCAATCTTTGTGATTTCTTCACTGCTTTGGGCAACTACAACACTTATTTTTCCACTTTCCCATCAGTCTTGGCTTGTTTACACTTTTCCTGTAATGTTCTTGTTTCATGGCATGTCCAGTTTTTCCTTGTTTGTTTACGTCTTCCAATAACTTCCTCCACTGTATTTTGTATCACTTCCTTGAATATTTCCCATTCAGTCTGTAGTGAGATTTCTTCATCAAACACAAATTAATGAAACGCCTCGCAAGCATCAACTTGTACACCTCTCTCACATAGCTAGCTTTATCAAGATCAAATGTGGCTCCAGTTACACCCCTCTGTTTCTTGGACTTTAACTTACTACTAATTTTTCCCCTTAATCATTCATGATCACGGCCACATTCTGCACCTCTATAGACTAACATTCAAAGGTGCCCTTTTATGCATTTTACGGATAATAATGTGGTCAATCTGGTTTTTAGTTTGACCATCTGCTGAATTGCACATAATCTTGTGCATATCTTCAGGAAAAAAACAAGTACCAGCAATAATCAGATTGTGTATCTCACAGCAAGTTCGTTTGCCATCCTGATACCACGTGGTCCCAACTTTACTAATTTGCTTACCATGTCCACTACCAACCTTTGCATTCATATTTCCCATTATAAAAATCATATCATGATCAGGAATCTCAACTACAATGCTATCCCCCTGTTGTAACAATCCATCCTTCTCTTCCACTTCTGCTGCTTCTGGTGGTGCATAACAACAGGTTACAGTTATGCATAGTTTATTGTAGGCAGTAGTAAACCTTGCTATGACAATCTGCTCAGACACTGGTTTCCAGCTATTATTTGAAGTAACTATTCTCTTGTCCACTGCTATTGCAACCCCATCCCTATGCTTTGCTTGTCCACCTGAGTGTCCTGAATAAAGGGAAGTATAATGTCCAATTGTGAACTCTCCTGTACCCGGCCGACGTGTCTCCTGTTCGGCAGCAAAGGTAATAGGTAACTTCCTTAAGTCCTCCACTACTAGCTCAGTCTGGCGGAAGCAAACAGTTCTAACATTCTAGATTGCACTATGTGTAATATATTTATCTGTTAACCAAAATCCATGGCCATTTCCATTTGTTAGGCCATATAAATCAGTCTGGCTTGTAGTATTGTTTCTATAACAAATCAATTTCAGATGTAATGGCTTGTTAGCACATTCTACCCTATGCAGCTCATGGAAGCACGATGTGATAGCCTGCTGGCCTGCTAGGAACAGGCACAATCAGCAGTTCCACCTTACTTGCCCTTCAAGGCTAACAAGCTTGGACCGCTTGGATTTGAAATCAGTTTTCCTTCTCCGAGACAGACTTGCCTAACGAGGTGAAATGGGCCCTATCTGCCCTGGTCTGAAATCAGAGTTCCCATCTATATGCAAAAAGGTTAAATTGTACAGAAACACAATCAAGTCAACGATGCAAGTAGTAAGAAATGCTATCCGTGAACCAACAACAAATATCGAAGAGTTCCTGGGGGAAGTATGGAAGGAGCATTTTGACAAAGTGCTAAACTGTAATTTTTCCAGATGCAAGCATTCTAGACATGCCAGAGGAACAGGGCAGAATGGATATAAGCACTGAACCACCACCTGAAAAAGAAATAGAAAGAGCAAAGAAGCAGTTAAAAATGGGAACGCTGAAGGAATCGATAACATAACAGCTGAGCTGCTAAAAGCTGGTGGAATAAGTGCGATCAAAGCATTAGAAAAATACATAAGGTCTGGAAGCAGGAGAAAGTACCTGATCATTGGGTAAAGGCAATAGTTGTACCAATCCTGAAGAAAGGAGATCCTGCCCATTTGAATAATTGAAGAGGTATAAGCTTATTATCAGCACTGGAAAAATCATGATGAAAGTAATTGTCAACTGATTGTGGCCAGTTTTAGAAGTAGCAGCAGGCAAGGAACAGTGTAGCTTCATACCAGGCCAAAGTTGAATTGATCCGACACACACTCCAACAGCTGATGGAAAAAAGGCGAGAATGGGGATTAAAGATGTTTGCTCTTTTCATCGACTTCATGAAGAAATTTGATTTGGTTTGGAGGGAAGCATTATGGAAAGTAATAAAATCATATGCAGTTCCAGATAGAATAACTGCAATTATAAAAGTTATGTACGAAGATTCCTGTAGTGCCATAAGAACTGGTGGAAAATTAAGCAACTGGTTCAAGTCAAAGTTTGGTGTAAGACAAGGGGGCATGGAATCACCATCACTTTTCATCATGTTCTTAAATTGGACGTTAAAAATGGTATATAAGTTGGAGGGCATGACGCTCTGTGATCTAAAGTTAAGCTCTTTAGCTCATGCAAACAACACTGTACAACTAGCAGACATGTTTGAATTGACGATGACACTCTTCACTACCTTGGAAAATTGGTGTAGTCGACTTGAACTTACAATAAATGCCAAGATGATGAAGTGGTTGCATCTTGGAAAAGGGACAATATATAAAGTGTTGAAATGCAGCAGTGGTGAAGTCATAGAACAAGTAAAACCTTACATGTACTGAGGAAGATTGATCAGTGCCAACAGTTCCATCAAGGATGAGGTTAAAAGGACATGTTACAACAGCTACACAGAAGTTGATGAAATTATGGACTGATAAAAACATTGTTTGGCACCAAAATGAATCAAACCAATGTACTAGCAGTATTACTCTGTGGTCTGGAAGCAGATGCGTTAAATGAAACAGACATCAGAAGGCAGCTGGAGGTAACAGAGATGAGAGTTCTTTGGAAGATGGCAGGTTACTGTGGAATGATATTATGACAACTGAAGAAGTTAGAAGGAGCAGGATGTGAAGTGATGGTATAGGATTGGCTGCAATCAAAAAGATTACAATAATGACGACATCTTAGAAGACAAACAGGATGCCAAGGAAAATAACACAAACACAACCACAGTCAGTCAGACCTGAAGGCTGGCCACCAACTACATGGCAGGAAATCGTATGCAGAGACATGACCAGGCTGGGCTTAATGGAGGGACAGGCCACAGACAGGAATGAATGCCGGTGCTGGACTGCTCCCCAGGCTTTGGGATGAGAAGAAGAAGTGGTGTATGTATTTCAGACTCCAGGAAATGGTTCATTTGTACTGTGCTTGATCCAACATATGCAAAACATGATACTTGGGAAATGGCCATGTTATCAAAGCACGTAATGTAAAATGTTATTTATTCCAACATTTAAACACACAAAGATTTTCCCAAAGCAGTAGGTTGTTTAAGCCTCACAATTCATTTCATTTTCCACTCCTGCATATTCTCTCCTCTAAAGCCTCCAATCCTTTTAAACTTAGCCATAAACAACAGCTAAAAAACTTCTTTTAAAAAATTACATGCTTTTAGTTTTCTCAAGTGCTTCTGAATTGCACAATGAAACCATCTTTTGGCTCTGCCTCTACCATTCCCTAAAATCTGCTACATGTGGTACAAGAAACATTCAAATACAGAGTTGATCTTTCTGTTTTTTGCAAAAATGTCAGTTTGTGGGTTGTTTTTGTAAATGCACTAGCCGTGACTTGTTCCTCTTCCTGCTCTGATTTCCTTTACCTCTTTAGTCCTCACTGCACATTTTCTATCTTCCTCTCTCACACCTGCTGTGTGGCCACTCATGGACCACCAGCTTGGATGACACCAGAACTTCCTCAATGACTTCTGATGTTACCCATCACTTTTCAGGCCCTTAACTGACCAGAGCCATTGCTAGCCCTGACAACCTGAGGGGAGGAGCCAATTGGCAGCACTGGATCCACCCTCTCTCAGTTGCTCTTTCTGGTGAGCAGGAAGATAGCCACTGAGATCAGCTGCCTGAAGCTGCTAAACAGAGGGATTCTGGGTTCTGCTCATCTGGAGACGAGGGACAAGCCATGAGTCTATTTGCTTGGCTCTCAGGCAAATGTTTAGGCCAGACCTTAAAAAGGAGCCCCCTAGGCCCAGCTTAGGGCAGAACATTCTGTACAAACTATGGGGAGGAGTGACTGCAGATCCTGGAGTGAGGGATAGGTCAGGTCCAAATACAGCCTGACTATAGACAGGCTCTGGGAAGTAGCTATAGGTGGGGGATGAGGCCAGCAGCTTCCCTGACTGTAGCTCAACTGCATAAGTCAGGAAAGACTTAGGGCTTGGAAACACATAGAACAGCTTAAACCATCTCCAGCCAGCAGACGATCTGAATCAGACTTCCCCATGTTCTCTTGAACTGAACACATGATGCAAGTGAATGGCCAGGCCAGGGAGCCTGGAGACAGAAGCATAGTAAGAGAACACACCTTAATCTGGTCCAGAGACAGAGGGACTTGACTAGGAAAAACACAGATCATCAACAAAATGGGCTGGAGGGATAATACTGGGCAGGCAACTGGCCTCACAAATGAGGACTTGGCAGAAGCAGGCAAAAAATGACTGTGCCAAGTACAAGTCCAAAATGCAACTGCACAACAGCAGTTCCAGCTCAGTCTAAGAAAGGCTTGGACCAATCACGCAGGGCAGATGGTCTGGTCCCAGTCACTGATGCATCCTCTGCCATCACCAGCTGGCACCGTACTCAGGTATCTGTCACAATCCCAGAGCAAGGGGAAGGAGGAACCACCTCTCTAAAGACCTCTCTCCTGCTACCCCACTTGAGATCAGCTATTAGACTCCTTCATTTCTAGCCCCTCGGAAGAGCCATTGGAGTAGTAATGCTAAGCCCATCCACTCAGCAGTAGGAACAACCAGATGCCATGTAAGTAGCCATGTTTCAGATCCTCAGTGAGGATCTGGGAGAAGCAATTGTCCACAATGGCCAACATCAGATTCACTAGTTGGCAAACTTCACTAACTGCAATGAGCTCCCCCAGTCAGAGGGGACTAATGAGGCCTCAATTTGTTAGTCTGTTCCCAATTAAGCCATTTTGACAAGTGAGAAACATAAGGAGAAAAACCACTTATTTTGCAGCTTCAGCGGATTAGAGGTACACAAAACGTAAGATGGATGAAGAAATTTTATAGATTATTCATGATAAGCATCCCCCCCCAAAAGCCTTATTTATATTGTGATAGCTCCAAAAATCTTCTAGACTCTTCCATTGAATTAGAGAAGAGGGCAGGAATCCAAAACAGAACCACCACAGTTATGATTGATACATCTTCATGAATGTTATTGTATGTGGGTCAATTCTGCAACTCATCACATCTTCAGCTGTGCAACTGCACAATAGAACAATGGAAATAAAAGAGTGAAGTCTGTGGACAGAGCTCAAACTTCCCGCTAAAGATACAAGTGCCTGGAAAATGCTTGTGAATGTGCCCTGATTGCTGATACTGGCTGCTAGCATGATTTCTTACGATGCCTTTGGGTTATATTTTCAGTCAACCTGTTACTAGCTTTGCTGTGGGCTTAAGGCATCTTCTGGAGAGCAAATATTTGCTAGATGACACAGCCCCATGAATGCTCAGCTCAGAGACTGAGTCTGGCTATCGGAGTCATTTTTTTCTTTTAAACCCATTTCCCTCTGGGGTGACAATCGCAGAAAGGTTCAAGTGACTCTCAATGTCACAATAATTCAGCACTAATTAAAAATGCTTCCTCTCTCCTCTGAGAAAAAATAAAGGCGCTCCAGTACAGAGGGAAACCATGCAGGAGAAAGCTAAGTCAGGGAAAGAAGAACAAATCACCAATTCTTACCTTCAGCACATCCTAAAAAGATGCTCGTGGTAGCCATTTGCATTCAGGTGCAGCAGGTGGGAGCCAGTTTCATATGGAACAGCAAGGTGCACACAAGAAATGACTGCCAGTGGGATCTAGGTGACATTTACACAAAAAGCTTCCCAACTTGGAGTCCCAGTGCAAGTACCCAACGTAAACCGTTCCCAGATGTAAAATAACACTCCTGTCAGCTTGTGCAAATAGTTGAATTTTCCTAACCCTAAAGCTATCAAAGCAGTGATTACCTTTACGGAGAACACTTGTCTGATCAGAATACTCCACGAGTGTTGGGATCTGCTCAATGATATAGAGTGCTCCATCATCCAGGCTCCCTTGCAGCTTAACCTTCTTCATATCCAGGACCATGTACTGATTGTTATAGGTTCCTAGGGGGCAATTAGGAGGAGGTTAGATCTTTCACCAATGCCTGGAGAAGCTGGGTGGGGAAAAAAAGTAGGGAGTGCTTTCTTTATTCAGAGGTTCATATAAACTTACTTACCAGAGTTGCATCTTAAGAAAGTTTGTGCCCAGGTTTTGCCACTGTCTGCCATCATGTTGGCAATACGGACTCTCTGCCAAGCAAAGAGAGATTTGGGCACCACTTGTTTAAGTAGAGTTTTGTTAAACACATTGTTTGTGGTCTGCAACATTACCAAGCCACTGCCAAGTAAGTAAAAGTCATCCAGAGACATCAAAAAACCTTAAACAAAACAGAAGACTTCCTGTTATCTTTGTGGGCTCTTAACATGGACCCCAGCTCTGCCTCACAGTCCTATGCTTTAACCAAAAGATGGTCCTTTCTCAAACAAAGAAGGCATATAACATGCATCAGGGATACGCGCTCCAATAGAGCCAGAGCGATTTTGAAGGCTCAAGCCATTATCCTCTCTCATAAAACAGGATTCCATGGGTTTTCTCAGATTAGAGTACACCTAGAAGAGAATTACTCTACAAATAATTGTTCTCTGAACATACAGCGGTAACAGGTTTTTGCAAGCACAAAACAGGCAGGGAACACTCATAGCTAGAGCTTGAAGTTCTGAGTAGTTAGTTCCAAAAAACAAAATGCAGCAACAAATAAAACCTACCCCAAGCACAGCTTTCTATCATCAGATATGGCAGAAGAGCTAGAGATGCCAAAAAGGTCAGAAGAGACTTCTCTCTTGCTAGTCTATTTTACACAGAAGACACTTGGATACTCCAGTGATGAGTGGCAGTACAAAATGCTTAGGACTTGTCTATAGTTGTAATTAACACCCTGAGTTATTTGGGAGCAAGCCTGTGTGTGGACACTTATTTGGAATAAAAGTAGATTTTACCAATTTAAATTATATCGCAATAGGACATTCTTACTCTGAAATAAGTGTCCACACACAGGCTTGCACCAAAATAACTCAAGCTGTTAATTACAAACCAACTTAGTTATGTTGGTTTCAATTTCTATGTAGACAAGCCTTAGATATCTATATTCAGGCCCTGTAATGGAGTAATAGCCCCTAGCATGTGACTGCAAAGGCCAGTTCCTGTTCCTCCTTGAAGACATAGTGGTCTGATGGACCTGACTCAAACAAGCCATCTTTTAGGATACCATGTCTTTCAAGGATCTTAAGAGTGTGTGGTTGTTTGTAGTGTGTGGTCTGGCTGGCTGGGTCCCCCCTCCAAGGCAGGTCAGATCTTCTGTTATTTTTGATTTTATTCTTAATTTATACAATAAATTGTTATTTAAAAGTGGAATTTTTAATTACAAAAACGTCAAAATCCAGGTAAGCCAGAAAGGATTATTTCTTCCTGGGTTTTCATATTCACTGATTTTTATCCTCCAATTCTTTTTCAATAAACTATCACCTGTCATCCTTTTCCAGTCTAATTACACAGGTGCATATATGCCAGTGTGGCCTGGAATATATCAATATCCTGAGAAAAGAAAAAGTTAAATGCAAGCTACAAGTTCAACCAGGGGAAAAATCCCTCAGAAATAAGCACAAGTGAAAACTAGAGATATCAGCAGATGGCTGGAGTTCCATTCATTCATCCTTGTCTTTTGCTCTATGTTTAAGGATGCATGAGACCTTGATGTAACTGAAATTGCCTTTTTTTGGTCAATTGTTGCCTCTCTGTACAATTCATCTACTTTATCTGTAAACCAGTCTCCCATCGTTATCAGCATCTCTCAAACAAACTTCTCAAATGAACTCTGTCACTCCTGTATCAAAGCCAACACAAGCAATCTGATTACATCTTCTGGATCAGCGCCATTTAGCTTATCTCCAAACAACGTAGGAAACTGAAGTTTCCAGGACCTGGAGCCTCATTCATCATGGCACTATTAACTGCTGAGCAAAGTGAGGCCCTACACTTAACTTGATGGCATTTCTCGGTTTGTCTGCATGTAATGCAATAACTTTTGACCACTGCATCCCATAAATTCCAGAATTACAGGAATGTTCGAGACATCATTTAGAATATACAGGTGAGGCAGCGACTTTAAAAAGGCCTGTAACAGGGAAGCAGAGCCACTCTGGATATAGGGGTGAGGAAGAGATCTCAAGGTATGGGAAAGGGTAAGAATTGGGTATGAGTTTAGTGGCCCCCGCACTCTATTCCAGCCAGACTCTTCACCCCAACTCCAGCCTGCCCCCTCAACCGGGGCGCTTGTTCCCACTTCAGCCAGAACCCCCTGCCCCCAGCAGGGCCACTCACATTCCTGCTCCCTCCAGGCCCCTCGCCCCTCACATTCTAGGCAGAACCTATTGGTTTTGGTGATGTGACTAATGCTTCTCTGCTCCATGTCCTGGCAAAAGCCTGACCAGGAAGGGTCCAGGATTATTGTCAGTACACAGGTATAGTTAGAGGTGGCTCTCAATTAGTTTGCTTAAATGGAAGGTTAGATATCAATAAGTAACTGGCTCAATTCACAGGGTCCAGAAATGGCTACTCGACAGCTGGCTAATGTAATGTGTGCTTTAGTTTGGAGGGTACATTTTCTTCTTCAAAGATGCCTATAATTATCTCTTTCAGAAGGGGGGCCCAAGTGATTCTGAGTGGGGATTCCATTAGCGGGAGTCTTTCCAAAGGAAGCAGGCATATTATGCAAGTCTTCTTCACCAAGAAAGCAGTCTCTGTTTTGATCTTTCACACTGAAGGCCTTCTTTGAATTCTTGAACAGAGCTGCACACAGCAAACACATTGGAGAGTCCATGCTGAAGCCACTTCTTGCCTGGCTGTCTTTGTGCTTTTGCTAGACATGCTGGGTGTCACATCCAATGGAACATGATAGCGCTAGGGCCAAGGAGCTCCAGGCTCTGGTTCCTGCCTGAGGCTTGGCTCCATGGCTTCCCACAGCAGCTGCAGAAATCAGGTCCTGGCCTGTGGAATTTTTAATTTTATCGGCTGTATTTAGATTCATGTGGTATTCTCCACAGGGGTAACCCAGTGGCTAAAGCATCGTTTATTTAGAACATAAGAACATAAGAATGGCCATAGTGGCTCAGACCAAAGGTCCATCCAGCCCAGTATCCTGTCTGCCGACCAATGCCCGGTGCCCCAGAGGGAGTGAACCTAACAGGTAATAATCAAGTGATCTCTCTTCTGCCATCCATCTCCATCCTCTGACAAACAGAGGCTAGGGACACCATTCCTTACCCATCCTGGCTAATAGCCATTAATGGACTTAACCTCCATGAATTTATTTAGTTCTCTTTTAAACCCTGTTATAATCCTAGCCTTCACATCCTCCTCAGGTGTGTGAAGAAGAACTTCCTTGTATTTGTTTTAAACCTACTGCCCATTAATTTCATTTGGTGGCCCCTAGTTCTTATATTATGGGAACAAGTAAATAACTTTTCCTTATTCACTTTCTCCACACCACTCATGATTTATATACCTCTATCATATCCCCCCTACTCTCCTCTTTTCTAAGCTGAAAAGTTCTAGCCTCTTTAATCTCTCCTCATATGGGACCTGTTCCAAACCCCTAGCCATTTTAGTTGCCCTTCTCTGAACCTTTTCTAATGCCAGTATATCTTTTTTTAGATGAATACTGCGTACAGATGTGGTCTCCTCAAGATGTGGGCGTACCATGGATTTATATAAGGGCAATAAGATTTTCTCCATCTTTTTCTCTATTCCTTTTTTAATGATTCCTAACATCCTGTTTGCTTTTTTGACCGCCTCTGCACACTGCGTGGACGTCTTCAGAGAACTATCCACGATGACTCCAAGATCTCTTTCCTGATTTGGTGTAGCTAAATTAGCCCCCATCATATTGTATGTATAGTTTGGGTTATTTTTTCCAATGTGCATTACTTTAAATGTATCCACATTAAATTTCATTTGCCATTTTGTTGCCCAATCACTTAGTTTTGTGAGATGTTTTTGAAGTTCTTCACAGAACTTATTTTATTTCAGCCTGGCTTTGAAATCTTAATTGGCCGAGCAAAGCCAGGCCTTACACTCAACTCAATGGCATTTCTCTGTGTGGCTGTTGTCACAATGCTCCTCTGTGTGCAGCGTCACATGGGCAGTGTCCAGGGGAAAGAGAACCAATACGGCCAACATGGTTAGAGTTAAGGTCACTGAAGGGAGTGAGTGATAACTGGCTGAGTTACCACTGATGTCACAATGGTACTGCTCAGGCTCCTCTGCCTGCAGCACCAAATGGGCACCGTCAAGGAGAAATGGTTGTTGATATGAAACGGATAAATCAACAAAGAGACAAAGAGGAGCGGCTGAGACAAACTGACAATAAAATGTAGGTTTTGTGGCAGTATCCTGTAAAACTGCTACAGTTTCAGAGATGAAGAGTACATTGCTACCCCTCCCCACCCCTATTTGTCAGCTCAGCCTATATAAGCAATGAAGTGTACGACCCTCTAGTTGTATCTATTGCTAACTACAAAATAAAGGATGCTTAATCAAAAACATAATATGTGCTGTGATCCAATGTTAACTAACTAACAACCTATTTACCAGACTGCAAAAGACAGGGTGCTATAATCAAAAAAGAGTATTTATTGCAACTCAATGTGGAGGATCTGCTATCTTGGGCAACTTGATTCGTGTTGGGGTCAAACAGTACACTAACTGGGGAGGAGGTATGTTTTTTTTCTGGGAGGACACCTCACTTCTTACAAAGGATGTGAAGCAGCTTTGGAAAGTAGAAGAACCAAGACTTTTCTGTCATGAGGTAGGCCAGATATAATCTAGAATTACTTTGTAAACTAATTATCAGGGCTGGCTTGGAGAGATGTCTGTCTCTGTTTTATGCCTTTAATGCCTTCTCTTTCTGTGAAATGTCAATTAATACTTATATTTACTCTAAGCTGATTTGGGTTTCCAATTACAGTAGATTCCGCTTATTGCTATTATCCAGCAGTTACTAATAAGCAGAAGGCAGGATTGTGAAGAAACAGCCAGAGAAGGAAGTCCTGGGATTTGCCTTCCATAGCTGCAGCCCTGCAAATCTGTCTAGGGGGAGGGGAGCACTGGGTCCCACGGAGCTACACAGCACCTTTCCCTGTGCTCTCCAGGGGTCGGAGCTCAGCATGTCCCAGTGCTTCCTTCTGTGTGTGCAGTCCCCCAGAGAGCACAGAGAGAGGTACTGTGCAGCTCCAACATCCGGGCTGCAGTTCCCCTCCCTGCTACTGCGCTGCCCATACCTCCCCCCCAGCCTGCAGGTCTTTATCTCCTGGGGTCCTTGTGTGCAGGCAGGTTTGCTGGGATGTAGCCCCAGAAGGAAGTGGCTGGGACATGCTAAGCACTGGCCGCAGGCAGGTTTGCACATCCCAGTGCTTCCTTCTGCAGGCATGTTTGCAAGGCTGCAGCCCCAGGTGGCCCTTTCTTCCAAAAAAAGCTGTTAATAAGCGGCATGCTGTTGCTAATATCCAAATCCCATTAACATTGATGTTAATGAGATGGGACTGGTTCCCAACAATATGTTGCCATTAACCAGAAGTTGCTAATAGCAGGATTGTAACTAGGCAGAATATAGTGTATTTTATCAAGACAGTTTGCTAGCTGGCTCTCTCAGGTCAAAGTTATCTTGGCTCAGGGGAAAAAGTGATAGCCTAGTGTGGGTCATGTACATGGAAAAGGTTGCAGTCTTCATTTGGAGCCGTGACATGAGACCTATGGGTTCCACTGTAGACCCCAGAGGGTTAAATGACCGAAAGGTACAAGACAGGGCCGCCGGGGGGGGGGGGGGGGGGGGAGGGGGACAATTTGCCCCGGGCCCTGCTGGGGCCCCCACGAGAATATAGTATTCTATAGTATTGCAACCTTTTTTTATGGAAGGGGCCCCCAAAATTGCTTTGCCCCAGGCCCACTGAATCCTCGGGGAGGCCCTGGTACAAGACTCCATCACATTACTGCAACTTGCAGCAGAAGATTTTGGAAGTTTTCCTTATTGCAGGATGTCCCTAGACTGCCACCAAGCCTGCGTCTCAGTTGTTGTCCATCATTTGGAAAGTGCAAGAGTCTGTGAGCCATACTGTCAGCTAGTGCAAACTGATGAAGTCACTGGATCTGGCTCTCTTAGTGGCATGTGATACTACACCATAATTCAGAGTCCGCTGAATTTCTCTCATGTAGACACATACCCTGGGTGCCAGGAACCTCACTGTGGCCATGACACCTAACTTTTGTAGCATGGTCTTTGCTGAAATTTGCTGGTAATGGCAAATCCTACCAGATCGTTGTATCAGAGTCTGTCCTGGGACAAGAAAGCTTTAAGAGGAGCCATGTCTACAACATTTCTCGGCGATTTTGACCGTCTCTGGGGAACAAGTTGAGACTTCGGGTCTTCTAGAATGAAGCCTAGTTATACCAGCACCTCGGTGGCTGATTCTTTGATATCTTCCAAGGTGAAGCTTGACAAGCCAATTGGTCAAATCAGGGAAGACTCACATTTCTGTCTTGTGTGAAGAGGCCACAAAGATTGCAAAGCATTTTGTAACACTTGGCACATATGCCAGCCCAAATGGCAACACTTTAAATTGGTAGTTCTGGTCCCATATCTGAAGCACAGAGAGTATGTCTGTACACATGTAAGCTCCATCTCCCCTTCTAAAGGGTGCAATGGTTCTCAACAACATCTTTTCAGAGAGATCTCAGATCCAGGTTGGGCCTTAGCCTTCTGTCTGTTTGGGTACCTAGACAGTACCTTTCCTTCTCAACAGGTGACACAGACTGGGTGCCATTCCTTGCCAGTGGGGATTGGAATTACTGTAGAGACTTTCTTCCTAATACTGCTAGAGTGCACTACTGAAAGGAGATAATTTGGTGGAAATTTTCTAATCTGACTTCAGTAGCCCCTCAAAGATGAGAGCCCAAATCTCTAAGAGAAGGTGGTGCTTAAGGACCATTGGGGAAGAGAGAGGACCCACAAGACAAGCAGTCCCTCAACCTCAATTTAATTCAAATGTCATTAAAAAAAACAACCCACCCCAGGGTTATTGATGTTTGTAGGTAGAAACATTGAGGAACCTTCAGCTTCTGTTGCAAGGGAAACACACCAACTAACCGGAGTGAGTACTGAAATCCTCAGCTAAACAAATTGATGGCCACAGTTCTCTCAGAATTAGATAGCCTCCGCCTGTGTACCCATTTCCACCATGATTTAAAAAACAATTTTTTTAAGTTTTGAATTTCAGCTTCAAACGTGTGGGATACGAACACAAACAGCTTTGCATTTTGTTTACTTTTTCAAGTCCTGAAGTTTAGAATAATTCCCGCCACCCATCCATCTGAACCCCCACCCATTTTTTTTAAACCAAGAGTCCATATTTTAACATTAACTGGCACTTTCTAACATTGCTCTAGAATGAGGAGAATGAGATGTGCTGCCAAACCTTTCTGTGGTAGTTTATAAGTAGTTTTAGCTACATAACTAAAACATGAAGCACACATAAAGAACAAGAAAAAAAGTCCATCCTCTGAAGGGAGAGTAAGTTTAAAGTTCGTTGGTCAGGTAAAACCGCCCTCCCCCAACACGTACCCCACCTCCACAAATCAAAAAGGAGATTGAAAAATCAATTTGACAACTGGCAACCAAATGTCAAAGATAATGTCAATTTGATACTCTCTAGTAATCCCATTAGTATCAGTCAAGCCACTAAAGTGAAGTGTTCAGAACTGTATTATCACCAGAGACACACTAGTACTGTAGGGCTACGCTTGGGTAGGGTGGGGAAAATATCAGCAATACAGACGAACATGTACCAAACAAGTAGAATTCAAACTCTTTCATAAGGAACCATATTTGCGCCAGGGGGTTGCAGAATATTTAACAAGTACTCTTCAGAACACCATCCCAGACAATTTGTTTTTTAAAGGATACATTCAAAACGATAAATCTGCAAGAAATTTTCCTCTATTGGCTTCTAAGAGTATTAAGGTAGGTCAGCATCGGTGCCTATAGTAACAGTGTCCTGTCTATAAGTCTTTTATAGAAGAGTCCACAAGTCAATGAGATGTGGAGAAGGCACATACAGACATGATGCATTTATGAACGCAGAGTATGAGGTTTCCTATTCTCACCCCAGTTACCTGGGTAACTGCTGAATGACATCCGACCAGTAACCGTCTTTGGATCAGTGATGTTGAAGTCCCAATGTTTATATATTCTCAATGTAGCTGCATATGTAAACCAGCTGGAATGAGCAAAATAGATGTTCTCATATCCAGGGAGAACCTAGAAAACAGAAGCAGAACAGTGAGTAATCCTGATCATTGTAACACTCTCTACTCTACA